TCCATCAACAAGTGAAGCGAATTCTTCTACAGGCTGCGACTCCGCCGAGTTTTCATCAGCGTTCACAATCAGTGACGGCTCTCCTCCATGATTCTGGTTCGCTTTGTGAAGAGAAATTGTATCTTCCACAGTGAATGGGCATTTTGGTTCAACCGCTTCGGGATTAGGAACTTTAACTACTGTTGCGTCGCCGGAATCAACTGGAAATCAATGCATTAATAAGTGCACTAATCATAATTAAATACTGTGAATATTTATATCTAAGGATAATCAGCCATTGAGGCAAGACGAACTTCGCACCAAGTTTCACGCACAACTGGTACTCTCCTGAGCATACAGACGTGTTCATCATGTCTCATGTCGCGTCCTTCATGCAGCCAAAGTCCATCCACCAGCGCTTTATTTATACATACCAGCCATGAATAATGTAAAGTCATACATCAGATTTCCATTTTCATTAAATGTCCGTTCTTTTTTCGCCACAGCAATGAGAGTTTACAACACTGAAACCTTTAGAATCTTATTTCGGACTTACCAGTGCCATCTGAATCCATAGATCCTTTACACGAATCCAATCTAACAGAGAGATCCGACTCTACCTTAAAACAAGAAACTGAATTTTATAATCAATCGACTAACAGAAATTACTTCCTCCTCATCGTCTTCGTCACATTCAGCTTCCTGAGAATCGCTTTCTTTGTCTCGCCCTATGAAAACATCGTCACAGACCGCAATGAATATTTCGAACCTTACTTAATTTTTTTTTCTTTGACCCAGGTACTTCTTCTACTTCAAACATGTATACCTCTGGATCTTGGCCTTCAGCTAGTAAAGCCTAAAGTAGTCATATGACGTCAATGAACAAAAACAAATCTTTCGCATCTCCAAACAATCGATCAAAATCTCTTATGTTTACACGTCCTGATTTTTCCAAAATTAGGTACGCTGATAGTTTGTTTAATCTCATTTTAAAGCCAAAGAATTTAACCGCATTTCACGATAAAGTCACTGATACATGCATGGAAAAGTGGTGAGTCACCTGTCCCATCCGTATGAAGATGTACTTGCAACTGACTATCCGGAAAGAGACTCCATAAGTTTCACACTACGAAATGTCTAGAGAAAAAGTCAGCGACAGAAAGACGTACTGAGAATAAAACATCTGCACTGACCCGTTTAATCTGTGGGAAATTTTTGATTTCAGCAGAAAGGAATCATACTGAGACCGTCATTTCCAAATTTTGTAGGCAACTTTTTGGATCGTACTACCAGCAAAAATCCTTCACCGCTGCCAGTTAAACAATATGGTTAACTGTCCATAGATACTGCAAATGCAACTGCGTCTTACAATTAACTGGAACATACCATATCAAACTTTCAAAAGATATAATACTTTAACTCACACTGTCGTACCTCTTCGCCGTCGCAAGGCTGACAGAAATAACATGAAAAGGATTAAGCTCGTAAACTTCGTTTGAGAATAAAAACACACGTAACATATGCTAAAAATTTTAACAACAGGCACTATAAAAAATTGCGTTTTGCTTTACCTCTTGTAACCTGGACAACAGAGCAGCCTTGTTGCCACTTCGGTCTAATTCCCTTTTTTCCAGTTCTGACTTTAAATCTATTACTCGCAGATCGGGAAGTTTACGGAAGACCGTGTTTGCCATACCCAACTCCACGACGATGACGCAAAAGAAAGTGAACTCTGATATACGTGGTTGTTTTGAAATTGTACCTGATAATCTGGTAAAAATTGTTGTTTAGCTACAGTAAACTTCGCAATCAAGTAGTTGTCATACAGTCACTGATGGAAAAGCAGTACACTGCTGCTCACATAACGCTTCAAGCAGTGAAATTGTAGTCGTACGATATTATATAAATACAAAGAGAGTTATTCTAATATCATATTTTAACACTATGTGACCATACTGGTGGTGCAAGAAATAATTCTGCTTTGCATTTGAGCATGAGTAGTTTGAATAACGAAAATCATATTTACTACCCGCTACTTTTCATGAAAAAGGAGTTAACTACATTATCTTCTTGCTCATTTACTCCAGAAGGGGCAGAAAGAATATGTCGAGTCAGCACAAAGGACAACATTATTCTGGTGTGATTACACCAGAGAATATATGATAAGAATTCATCTTGAAACAACTGGAAGCTGGTTGACTTATCAGGCAATAAAATTGGAAATTCAAAACATGGAGACGACGACCAATGACGTAGAAACCAAGTACGATGCTTTCCACACAAAAGGGCCGAGTTCATACACAATTTCGGTGCAATTTTTCTGGTATTACAAACCATATGCCAAGCATAAATGTCAATTCATTTCGCACAACTACTGGAAAATGGAATGGTTTGTTAGACTGCAAGTAAAAAAGAAGCGTGGTGCTTTGCTGTGATCATGCCAACACTAGCGAGTTGTCTAGAAATTCTCTCTGATGATTTTGCCTTGGGCTGCAGTTCGCATTCACGACTGACTAAAATACTGGCAAACTTTGTTAAAATTTTAAATTTTAAAAACACAACATTCCAATCCGTTTCGTTTGTCATTCTCCTAATCGATGCATTGCTTGGAATCATTCATTATGTTGTCGTTTAAAGGTGCGTATTTGAAAAAGATTTAGGCAATGACGTGATATACCTCTTTCTGAACTTCACGCTTACCCACAGTTAATTGGAAACCACTAAGAGAGCTTTCCTTCTACTTTGAAGGCAGATATGATTCCTGCATGCATCGTTTCCAAAACAGAAACGACATATTAGGGTATCCCGTTAAGCATTTTTGACGTCATCGGAGAATATAGTAAATCAAATGAACCGCTAAAGTCGAAGAAACTGGCAAAGCAAGACTGCTGAAATTGTCGAAGCTGCACAGTGATCCTATTGAATAACTCATCTGCAGGCCGACTTGATCTGGATGGTCTGCTATCGTTTGTTTGCTTCAACCTTTCCATTAATATCTTGGAGATGAGTTTCCCGGTAACTGACAACAACGCGATACGGCGATATCGCTCGGTCTCCTTATCATCTTTAAATGAAGGGCACAATTGCTCCCTTTTTCAATTCTTCTGGCTAACGTATTTTGGCCAACTTTTAAAGAAACAACGCATGGAACTTTCCTCCATGCTTAATTAATTCCAGAGGTATTCGATCCGAACCGCAGGCTTCGACCATCTTAAGGTGTAGCAAAAAATTTAAATTCCTAAGTCTTATGGGTGGATTTGTACATTCCTCTGTTGTTGGAAGAGAAGCAAAGGGCGAAAATGATACTTCTGGAGGGAAGCCGCTGAGATGCTCTTAGAAATGCTCATCCCTTATTTTGAAAGATTCCTTGTGACCTACCGACGGGATTAATTGATAAATACTGAAGCTGGCCTGTTTCTCTCTTGATCGGTTAGGAATCTTATTTGCAGTAGTTGAACACTTCGTTGAGACAAAAAACTACAGTATAAAACTCTTAGAATTTTTTTCACCGGGAGATTCATTGCTAGTTGCTTCTCTAGAGGTCGGTGTGATAAGCATCTGTTTCAAACTCTGAAGGAGTGCGATTCTAACAATTAAAGTGAAAAATTTATTTCATTGTTAATTCTTTTTGGCAAGGAAATTCTCCTCGTTGCTGTGATAAAACCATCCTAAAAACTGATAGCAAGTTGGCTAGCTATGTTCGGTATGCTAAGTTCGGTATCAAAATATTAAAACTCAGTACAATGACCGCCTCTGCAGCGCTTTCTTCATCTCTTGGACATCTTCGGTAAGCACGGTTTGGTTTGGATAACACGGTATCAACAGCGAAACTGAAAGGGTTCAGCCGCTCATCGTTTGATGAATCTGTAAATTTTCATCCACTGAGTGCAGTTTTCACAGGCCGTAACGAGATTTGGTGAATCGCAAATCTGTCTTACGGCTTTTCAGATTTGAGCCTGAAAGCGGGCGTCAAAGAGCATTATAGCTATGGAGCTGCCATTTGCTTTCTTTGCAAGTTTTTTCATGCATCCTGGATCGATGGAATAATTTATTCGTGCGTTGGCGATCATATTGAAAAAATAGCGTAAAATATGCTTTACTTATGCACAACGCTAAAGTTATTGAGATCAACCTGACTGACGAGTATCTTTTGTGTTGCGCATAAGCAAACCCCGTTTTACGGTATTTTGTCATGTTCGTTCGCCCTCTTATACAAACTCTTCCATTACTGCAATTATTCTGACGTTGGCTAACTCTTTTCATAATCACCGAAGACACCGGAAATGGAAGGTTGAACTTTCCTCCCTTTCCAATAGCTGGTTCAGAGTAAAGATGTGATCTATTGCGCTGATGCTGAGTGTTTATCTGAACCTTCCCTGATACTGCTGGGAATTCTGTTTATTATTTCACGAATAATTTATGAGCGAAAGCTGGCAGATTTCCAGATAATTCATCACTTCGCTTTGTTTTCGCCTTTCTTATGTAGCATTACGGTGTATGACTTATTGCAGCTATTAAAGATTGTCCTTATTACCACTTAGATTATTCTTCAGAGAATTATGCAAGGTGGAATGAATATATAGTTCGTACGATGGTAGTCACACAGAAAGAATACCTCAAAACGGTTTATTAATGCACAACGGAAACTCTTATGCCACTCGGATCCAGACACATCTTACGCGGCAGGCAAACGATCTGAATAATCATCGAACTTCGTCAACTGTTTCACTCCGAAGAATCTCCATGAGCAAGGAGCGGATACCTCGGTATCACTATAATCCGATAAATTACTGACTCTGACAAGTGGCAAACTGCATCTTGAATTTACTCAACGTTTAAAACAGGAAAAGCCGACAGTGCATTCGACACAATTACATGCTTCAGCTGAAAAAATATATCATGAAACCGTAAGAGCCAATCACTACAGAATTATTACTCCCAAAATTATGAAATTCATGTCGTTTATCTTCTGAATATAAAAACTTTTACTGAAACTATGCAATAAATTACTACGAAGCACCTGCGTTAGAATCTAAGAAAAAAGATCATAAGACATGATCAGAAAAGAAACATATGCTGACTAACAAAGGTATGGACCTGATACTGCAGAAAAGAAAAATTGAAAACAGCTTACGCTTCAATAGCAAACTGCGTTTATAAACAGCTATCATAAACGGCACCTGAGAGGAACACAGATAATCGAGGCATAGTTCGCAAGTATAACCGACTGTTAAAACTTACTCGAATTATTTCGCAAGCAGAGTTGCGAGGGACAACGAGCAAGTGAGAAACGATGGCTTCTCATACCAGCAACACTGTCGCCACCGGATGATCTAAGGAAGCTTAAGGTCGATACTGATATTTACCTTTTCAAGTAAAAGAAACGCATCATTCGTAACACTGAGACTCATACCTTTATTTAGCTGCGAAAACAGGTGAAAATAGGCACTTCATCAGTCAGAAAAACGACCACTGACAAGTCAAACGGAATAGAACGATGACAGTTCAAAGGAAGCACTCCGGTAAGAAATAAAATTCTTGTTCCTCGCCCAACTACGCTTCAATGCGACACAGATTAAGAAACGCACAACACACACGCAGAAAGTATGACTCCGGTCAACACTGACAGCAAAAGCCGATTATAAAACAGGCATATTTAAAAGATGTGCTAATATTCCATTACAATAAAATTTATCCTTCGTCTCGAGAATAAACTACCAAAGTACTAACGCGAACAAAAGAACTGCCTTGCTGTTCGAAACTTTTATCTGCTGCAGACAAAAGGAAAGGAAGGAAAGCTTGTAACCGATGAAATGTCGGTCTTCCTTACACTTTTAAGGTGGGACCATATTTAGCGCATCTCTTTTCGTGAAAAGTTAATGACGAAGCGCTGATTTTCATCTCATGCCATCTGCCAGGAGTGCCTTATTTTAAGGTCGACTGCAGCTATGTGGCAATCATAATGTGTAGTCTCCAGCTTCCTTCCTTCCTACAAAGTGATACTTGCTTATCAATGTCAGAAAGAAGCAAGGCGAATGACCCGACCGGGGTTCCAATCGAAACCACTAGGTTCTGCGTCTAACGCTTTACCGACTGAGCAACCTCGGTCAGACGATGATAACAGCAACAGAAAGCCAACTTCCCGACGCCAAATAAGGGCTGTTAGACATGGACTGTGCGGTCGATAATAATTCCAGCAGGAAATTAAAGCCGGGATGGTGGTGGTCTAGGCATTTGTTAGGAGCTGCTTTCATTTTCCTCTTTGTCGCCAATTGATTCCAATGGTCAGGATGCAATGATCTTACGAATTAATCTAAAAACACGTTCAGATTCTGGTCTATTTGAACATAACAGTCAAATTAAAAGTCATGTCAAGATACGCTGAATATTAATTTTATTACCGTGGTCATGGTTTCAAATTAAACGTTACCTTAACGTTTTGGCTGCCAGAATGAAATATCACATGATAATACAGCGGTTTCGCTGTAGTTCGGTTGTAATTAAAATGGGAAAAAACAATTTGGCACGATAAAGTTTAATACTTAAGTCAAAGCTCAAGACTGCTTTAATCCTTCGAATCTTCTGGCATGCATAGACAGTGTTGTCTAGTTTTTCCAGAATATTTGCAACAGTCACCCTTAACGCGACAATTAGGAAGCCTCAGAGGACTCTCGTTCTGCAATATTATAATCAGTTCTCTGCTACAAATTTAAATCTTTCCATAGTTGGGCAACAATTTTTCGTGCGTGTCATATCCGGCCTCTAACCAACCGCTTTAACTGCTGAACAGATTCATCCTTCAGCAGCATTAGACTTGAACATGCATGGCGGTGCTTGCTTTGCAGACACCCGGATAAATGGCCCATCAATTCGTTGACCCTTCAGAGCCGTCAAGGGTGTATTTTTATTTAAATACGACAAATTTAGGAGATTTCATGCCTGGGACAGAAACAGAAAACTACTGCTCAAGCGTGCAATTTAAATTTCCCACCGTTAGCCTCAAAAATGGCGACTGACGCAAATTAACTCATCAACGAATTCTCCAGCGACATGGGAAAAAATAATCAATGTAGGAGAAGAGAATTCACCAACGAGCGCATTTCACAATAGGAAGGAGGCACCAAAAGTACTCATTTAGTTAAGACCAAAGAAAATCAGCCAGTAAGCTTCAATCTATACTACATCTGGATCGATCAGAAATGGATTAGGAAGTCGAGTGTCGAATCAGACCAAATTAATCGTGTCCGTTGCCGAACTTCAACTGTCAATCATCGTTGAGTATGCACAACGAACGGACTGCACCACGATTAGACTGAATCATAGCCGCAGCAACCTATTCGTCGGGTGAAAGACATGCGGTGGCTGCTTGCGTCGCTTATGCTCTGCTGCATCATTGGGTCCATAGAAAGTAAGATAAGGTAAAAGGCCACCTTAGCACTGTGGCTTCCGCCTTATTCTCAAGTGGACGCTAGCTGTGAAAAACTTAAACTGTCACTTTATATGCCTTCCAGCCGAAGCTATTACTAAGCATCTCTACAACGCAATATCAGACCAAGACGCCTATCGCCTACGTCTCTGGACAGGATGTGTCGCGCAACTCGTCGGGAGTACTATGGTGTACATACGTTTACATACGCCACCAAATATTTGCTTTAATATCATAATATCATAACAACTGCCGCAAGGCGATATGCGAGGTACACTACGACGGCCACCGTGGACTGTACAAGATCAGTCCCGAATTCGGGCTTTACAGAGAATGCGCTTCTGTGCTGCAGGCGTACGTTCACCAGTTGACTAGTTAGTTTCGTCAGCCTCATCGGCCATCAACGGATGTATTCAAGCCCGCTCAGAGGGGCAGCTGCCCGATCAAACAGCTACCGTTATCCGACGACCAGTATCTGGCGTGCACCATGGTTTTGGACAGCTGGTACCTTATTCGCTTCCACAGCAGATTGGATACCGAGTGACGCAACTACATGAGGAAAGTGTACGAAAACACTCAATGGTGGGTCACCAAGACGCAAAGCCACTGCCAGCAGCATCACTTGGTGCAGACAAGTCCATCTTCGCGCTACCGACTGTCGTCTGCTCCTCCTCGCTTTGCTGAACGACATAACACCGTTTTCGATACGCGTCAGCATTACGGCGCTCATTAGCGGTGCAGCGGGTACGACGGCTGTTTCCCTGACAGAGCTGCTAACGGAGAAAAGCAGGTGGGTGGTCAGAAAGCTGTCGACAAATCGATTTCAAAACATTAGCCATGTATGTTACAAATCGTCGATGGGCGTTCGCCAGCCGCTGATCAAGGAGCACATCATCACCGACAATCCGTCTTTGCGCCAGTACATTATGGAGAAACGTTTCTGCGCCAAGAGTCGAGCAAGTATGAATGTTGTTTTCTACCTCATCGCATATGTTCTGAATACTGCAGCGGTTCTTGCACCGACAATTCTTTTGCAGTAATAGGTCAACGAATTTAAAATGCCCCAAACTCCATCGATCATAGCAACTGCGCAACGCCAAACCAAATACAGCATGGGTGATCTGATGTAATGAATACGGGGATCTTGAAATATCGACGATACTTTTGCTAATGTCAACTGCCTAATTCTGCATAATTATTCAATGTCAGTGGCTCACGTTAAGCAATTATATAGCTTTTCCTGCTAAACTAAATTTATTTCATTGAAACGCTGATGATTATAGTACAAGACAACACTGAACGCTTTTCACAAAGTAGCATTCAACATGCAAGTCATTTTCGATGACTATGCACACAGAAGTTGAAAATTACGCATTGAGTGATAATCGGTTTCACTGCAGTTTAAGACGAGTCCCATACTTAAACAAATACCAATAATATTATCAAACCACAATAAAACAGTAAACCACAATAAGCCTCAATCGCATCTGAAATAAGATGGCCATCGCCCCACTTAGCTCAGAGGTTATAAAACGTTTCATACACAACTTTATAGTGAAAATATATTTCTAGGATATCTGAATCGTTGCCTCGTTAGGCAATCGTCTGAAGGCTAACAGCAGACTTTCAATAGTACAATACCCGTTGGAACAAATACAGTCTACCGCAACACAGTAATTTCCCCTGGCATTTGACCTGCAGTATCATCGCTGACCGCTCTTCATGATGAGGTCAGAATTCTAAAGGGCATGGACACAGTAGACCTGCCCCCTGGGCTACTTTGCGATTTTGCCGCAGAGTTTCAGAAGAATAATTTCCGTGTCATGAGAAATTCGTGAACCTTGTTCTGAGGTGGTTGTCCAATCAGTCAAGAGATGCAATTCCATTGATAAAATGTGACCCATGCAGAGAAGCATACGCCGCGGAATCAATCATACGTTAGCAGGCATTAACCCGCGACCGTAAAACTTCCAAATATAATCATGCATGACATTAATATGATCTTCACTGCTATAAGTGGGCCAAGTTTATTACCAGATTTGAAAGTCAGTCAGAAAAGCACAGAAGCGCAGTTTGTGACGACACAGAGCGGTTCGATGATCCATGAACGCCGGATAATTGTACGAATAGTTACTGCGGTGAATTGTTCAGCACGATCCATTCCATACTGGAAATGGCTAGAATTCACGCTTCGAGTCTGCATACAGTATAAAAATGGTTTATTTATACAAAATGCATAACAATTTTGCCAATCGGATGAACAATTAAACTATTTTGTGTTGTGAATAAAAAATCGTGCCGCTTTCAACATGACCTCCAACGCATGAACAAAATTCTCAAGTCAAGTGACTGATACGGAGTTTTACTTTCGTCATTCGCTGCAGAGAAAATTTTGAATTGGTACTTGGCAGTTCAGTTGCCGGTTCGAGAATGATTCCCGCATGCTACCAAAAATCTGAAGATAAAAGGCAGTCACATTTTTCTGCAGACATTGCAAATGTTGCTCAGTAGGCCGACTGTGAAAACTTTGCTTCTAGTAACGCCGTTTGTTCAGTTATTTGAAGAGTTAGTAGATGTCTGTGTTCGTCAGTGATAAGCATTTCAACCCAGTTATGTACGGCCTGTCTCGATTCAATATTTCACACAATGAAACAGAATTGAGGATTTTCAAGCACTCGCAAACTATTAGTTCGATTAGTATAAATCATCGTTTTGTTGTAAAGACAAGCAAAAGAAACCAAAACCGTGATGTGAAGCTTGGTTTCAAGCTTAGCTACTGATAAACGAAAAAACAGAAGGATGAGTAACGAAATCGCACAACCAACTACAACGGTTCTCAACGATAATCAGAGAGAGAAAACTACGTGTCTTCTTTACTGGGATAGCTAATCCCATCCAATCGTTCCGCCGGTTAGAATATGAAAAGATACGTTGTGAGTGAGTAGCACTTCCGAAAAAATGCTGACATTTTAGAAAACAAGCAGCAGTCACTCGTGAAAAAGTAACGCTTAATGAAATTATGGAATTTTTTACAACTATAAACGATTACAAGGGTTGGACTTGGATCTGCGAATAAAACTGAACGAATCATTAAGAAG